GGGGGGGCTTTTTTTTTTTTTTTTTTTTTGAGAACGGGCGAAAATCCGTGCGCGCGCAGGATGTCATCCATAAAATTAAAAAAGTGTGGCCTAATCGTCAAAATGCCGTATCAGCCGTGGTTTAAGGGTCAGTGTATTTGAAAGCCCTTTTGTTGGGCCAAATCGGTGTCATTTTCACAAAAACAGGTTAGGCTGCTCAATGACCAGGTTAAAATTTTCAATATGAGCCACGTACTGTGGATTATACAGGTGGACACTTGTTATTCAAATCTGGATGTGTGTTTTTGTGCGAGTAATTTTGTTACCAGTTCAGCGCATGTCGGTACAATATATTATACCCTCTTCTAGGGCCACAGATTGATTTTTCACCAGATATCCACAGATATGTCGCTGGTTAAATTGACGGTTATTCTTTGCTCTGTGATAAATAAAATGTGCAGCTGTGGAAGAGGGTATACAATATACGCTTTTATCACCAAGTTTCCGTTCATGGTTTTTAGTGGGATGAAGGCCGTGCCCTTCATCTATAAATGAAGAACACGTAAGAGCATCATTGCAATAAGCTGTTGTATGAACTAATGAACTTTTCCGATATCTTGGCCCGTTGTCTGTTCCTCGACCTAGTTCTTTGGTGCCTTTATCACTTTTTAGTCTTGGCCAACACGCATTTTATCTCTGTTTTTGTCTTGAAAAGGAGTAGAATAAGTAAAATAAAATAACAATGATAAAGAGAAATAAAGAAGGGAAATACAAAGAAATACAGAAAAGGATTTTTGCTGAAACATGTTCCCGGTACATGTAGGCTACATTCCCACATACAGACAGATCGGGGGAATGGGACAGTCAAAAGAAATTCTGATGCACTACAACCAAAAATAATTGTAAGTAAACACACGAACGTATCTAAAATGTGACAAAAGAGGTGAATTATAGTGCAAGCGCAGGTACGAGTTATTGGAGAAAACTTTACAAACTATCTCGGTGGTTGGGTGGTACCTGGACCCCCACCCTCCCCTGCCCTTTATTTGAAATCCTGGATTTGCCCGATTTGGGTGAGGGAGGGGGGAGGGGTCGGGTCTGCGGGATTGAGAGGGGTCCCGAATTTATGGGCTAAGATTAACATACTGCCAGTGCGAGAACCAAGGGAGGGAGGACACTGATATTTACATAAATTAATTTAAACCTACACAATCAATCTCAAAAATGGTTTGAGGAAAATAAAGATAAATTACAGAAACATCCTGCCGGAAATTGTTCAATTTTTATGCGGACTATAAAATTAAAGTTTTTTTACTGTTTTTAACTGTTAACAATAACTTCGATTTTCTTAAAGATGCATACAAAGTCAATTTTTTGTCACAAAAACCAACCAAATGCCAGCATATAGATTCAAGTAGTATAACTAAGAGAATTACCAAAAGGCATTGTTTAATTTTACCCGAAAATGATGTTTGAACAGATTTTTCTGCTGGCATTCTAAGCTGTATGTCAATGGGGCAGGAAAGTAGGTCACGAATGTAGGTTAAATTTACAACCATAAATTTAAAGAAAGGAGCAGACTGAAGGTCTTTTATGGCTGATCGAGTGATCTATTCAGTTTATCCCTTGGCATGTCGAATTTATTTGAGTCATATAAGAATCTACAGGGTTACCACTTAATATGGAATATTATTTTTTGGCGAGTAAATTTTCTACAAAATATTTAATTTCTCTCTAACTACTTTAAATCCAAAGTTGAGGTGTCACTCCATGTGTAGCCAGGTGTGTTACCTAATTAACACACAACTCTCGAAACAATTGATGCATGCAGTTGCATGTTCTGTGGTCAGAAATGTGAGGGGTGGTCTTTTCGGCAATTTCTGCCCTTGTATAAAAACGCATGGGTTTGGTCAATATTTGGAGTGTGTTTAGAGAAGCAACAAAGGGATCGCTCTGAAACTTGACAGGTACCTTAGTGAAGATATGGTTCGACAGCTAAGCAACGCAGCTAACTACGGGATTCTTGCTCTCAGAGAAAATGTCCAGAAACGGGCAGCCATTGCCAGGTAATTCAACATTTATCAGGAACCGTTTGTGAAGTCCTCCAAAGAAATGCTGCAACAGGGGCACCTACTCCAATACCTCGACCAGGGTGTCCGCATATCACACCAAGAAGACAGGATCGCCTTCTCCTTAGAGGACGCCATGCTGGTCGTACAAAGACAACCAGTGTCCTCAGAAAAGAGAGGCAGAATGTCATTCAAACTCCCGTTTCAAGGCCCCACGTGAACAAGATATTTCTGCAAGCCGGTTATTTTGCACGAAGGCCAGTAGGGAAACTACTGTTTACAGCAGGTCATATACAGCGACGTCTGCAATGGGCTGGGGACCACGTGCGTTTGCAGCCAAAACAGTGGAATCACGTCGTTTTCAGTGATGAGGCCAGAAATGGATTTTTTAGGGTTGATCGTCGAATCCGTGCCCACCGACGTGTACGAGGGGCATAAAACAATGATTGTGTACTGCCTAGGGTGCAAGCAGGGCATGGTAACGTCTCTGTTTGGGGAGCATTTCATGTCGGTGCCCAGAACCAGTTGGTTTTTCTAGGAGGCAACCTCATCCAGGATTCCTACAGAGACATTCTACAGCAAACAATGCTTCGATTGGTAAGAGTCATCTTCAGGAACAACTTTGTGTACCAAGACGACTGCGCAACCCCACATCGAGGCCGCAGAATCACTGTTTTTCTTCAAAACCAATGGGTTCAGCAACTGCCCTGGCCTGCAAACTCTCCAGATATGAACCCAATTGAAAATCTGTGGGCGGAAGTAACTCACAGAATTAATAGCTATGGTCCTCGGCCGGTAAATAGTGATGAACTGCGACAGGCAAATATCACTGCGTGGAATGATATCCCCACCCAAACTCTAAAAAACGTGTCACAGGGTATGCCATGTAGGATGAGGGCGCTGCAAGCGGCTGCTGGAGGTCATACCCGCAATTACTGACTTTTCATGCTTTACTGTAGCGAGTTCTTTGACTGTGTAACATATCACTGTCCGGAGGCTATCATTTTCTTTAATATCTTATCTTAAAGTTTATACTGACATCAAACTGTTGATATGGTTTTCTGGGGGTGTTCCTTTCTTTTGAATGGCATCTTATGTCAGATTTGATATTATTGACCAAAATATCTCACAACCGAAGACTGGATGTTATTATCACTCAGTGACATACTTTTTTAATGACTCAAGCCAAAAATATTTTAATCAGCACTCAAAAATAATAATGATAAAAAATATTCCATATTAAGTAGCAACCCTGTAGTAGAAGTGGTTTACATGTGTTACTGGGAATCCACTCTCCACCGATGCTCGGTTCGTATGTACCTTTTAGTGAATACATACATCTTGATAAGCTGAGATAGAGATGATATCCGACATTTCTATAAACGTGATTAACGGGACGCAATTTTACCTGGGCGCAGACAAGCGGGTCTGATAGTTGTAGATATAATCTTCTTCTGACAATTTGATAACCGAGCCCTTTTCCATCGTAGGTGACCTTTTACTTGCTTTTTTTCTGTTGGATATTTACAAGACATTATATTTAAATGTCACTGCAATGTTCATTCACATCTTGATGATTTTGGGTATATTGTTTCTTTGTATCAGAAGAGGTTCTATGGTGTAATGGTTAGCACTCTGGACTTTGAATCCAGCGATCCGAGTTCAAATCTCGGTAGAACCTAATGTTTTCTTACTTTTGACGTGAGGTTTCAGTTTTCAACAGCCAAGACACGCAACCAGAAGAAAAAGATGGACTCGGTCCACTATATCTCTATATCTTTCCTAGCCTATAATTGATAACAAATATCTTCTGAAAAAGAGACGGAAATGTGGAGACTGCAAATGGCCATTAATTATTACTGTAATTGATTTATATTTTTCTTTTTGCCTTTCTTCTTTTTGAACTTTTTTAAAATCTCTAACCTGCTGGTCAGCCTAACTTTGATTTTCCATGCAGGACGCCTTGCGGTGTCTAAATGTTTGTAATCTCAGATATTTTTATTACTTCGTTTTTTTTTTTTTTTTTTTGACAAAATGATCTAATACTTTGCTAATTTTTTTTTTTTTTTTTTTTTTACTTTTCCTCTTAGCAATGAACACATTTTCTGGTCAGTTGACCTGACCATCTAAACACAACACCAGTTACCTGAATGCAGCTGGCATGCTGTGCTTCACTTTAGAAAGATTACGCTCTCTAAGCGCAACGTACTACTTTAGACCACATTAATTTTAGGATGGTTATTCTTCCGACTGTCAGAAGTCATGTTTAAAAGCTCATACGACCGAAGTGAAGAGATATTTGTTAATTAAGTATTTATTCACTTGGACCCAATGGCTTTTATTTATCATTTCACACGGACCAGCTTTAGATAATTAGGTCAAAGTCTCGTTATCATATGCTATCCCGTCGTGCAATTTACACATTTATCCTCCAAAATGCCGACAGGGAAGGGCAAGGCGCCTGATGTATTCAGGTATCACTATGCAATTGTTTCAAGGATTCCTAATAGTTTTAAGGACAGTAGCTTAAAACAGAAAGAACCGGCGAAACCTATCGATCTTGAGAAGGCGCGTCAACAGCACGAAGAGTACGTCGAGACGCTTCGTAAACTCGGCATCGATGTGCTGGAACTTCCACTCGATGAGCGACACCCCGACTGCGTTTTTGTGGAAGACACCGCTGTTGTGATCAACGGCACAGCACTCATATGTAGACCAGGGGCACCGTCACGATTAGGGGAGGTAAGACATAGAGTTTGAGGCGTGGTTCTGACTGTGTGGCGTCGAGGAAAAGCGCACACCCCCGCCTTGC